TGTTCATGCCGCTGCTGGGCCCCATGACATGGTGCTTGGACCGCCAGCATCCAGAACTGCGAGAATACATTCCTGATGTTTAAGCCACCAAGTTTGTGATGATTTGTTTCACTGGTCACAGAAAATGAGTAGTCTTCAGAAGAGGAGGGAGCAGTGAACATGCATCTTTCCCCAGCAGTGTGGTTAACAGGAATACAGACGCATGTCAGCTTTCAGTTGGGAGCCCCAAGCAAGCCTGCCCTGGGGGGAGAGAGACAGCACTCCCTCCAAGGGAAAAGAACCCCACCTCTCCCTACTCTCAGCATTATTGTTCTTTTTAGGTTCTACTACCTATGAATACTTGGCATATTGTATATTTATTTTGTTATTGCTGTCAGTCTCCCTGCTGAATGTCTGCTTCATGGGAAAGTGACTTTTTAAAAAGATGTATTTATTTATTCATACAGAACTGGGGTACAGGCCAGAGATGGGGAAGGTGAGAGGATTCACCAGAGACAAGAGTGGGGAGCAGAACAGGCAGATCAAGGAAGTACACTGCTGAGGGGAGCAGTGGGCTGGTCAGGAGAGGTCTGCCGCACCATGTTGATCTCCCCCAGGGCAGGCGGGGGTCGAACTCATGCTGAAGTGGCTTTAGCTTCTTAGTGCAGTGCTTTAACCCGCTGCGCCACCAGGGAGGGCCCGGGAAAGTGACTTTTTTCAACTGCTTTCTCTCCACGTCTAGAAGCGGACATAGCACAGAGTAAGCACTCAATCAGCACTTGGGTGGATGTCTGAAGGTCATATTGCTGCCACTTGGGGAGCCCTGACATCACCTCAGGGAGTGCCCATGGGAGCAGGCTTCACAGCAACATGGCCTACTGAAGCTTTCCGAGCGCCACTTTACAAAACATTAAGAGTCTGAGCATTTTTTCTTTTTCTGCCACTCATTTTTGATTCCCTGTTCGGTTTTGATTCCCTGCTCAGGCCCAAACCTTGGAGTCATCTCTGAAGTCTCTTTCTCACACTCCACAGTAACCACAAGGAAATCCCCGCTGCTTCAACTACTCCTCTGCCTTTAAAACTGCACCCACCTTCAGACCATCTTCATGGCTCCACGCCTCTCCCCACCACTCTCAGGTTTGGAGAGTAATAATGGCTTCCCAGAGTCCCTTTGCCCCCTACAACTCAGCAGCCAGAGAGATCCTTTTAAGAGTAAGTCAGACCTTGTCCCTAATCTGTTCCAAACTTTTGGATGGCTCCCCGCGCCCTCAGAATAAAAGCCAAAGTCCTTACACAGCTCTTGCACATGACGACAAGGTCCATGTCATTTGTCATCACGCCCCAGCACTCTGCTTGCCTCGCTGGCCACAACACCCCTCTCGCCTGCTCCAGCCTCCCTGCTGTTTTTCAGAGTTTTTAAATCACCTGATCTGGACGTGCATGTGTACACACACACACACACACACACACACACACACATTTAGTGCCTGTCTCTCCCACTAGGATATAAACTTAGTAAGGGCAAGGTTTTGTTTTGTTTTGTTTTAATCTGTTTGTCTGAGGCCTCCCTTGTGGCACAAAGGGTTAAACCTTAGCACTCTGAAGCTAACCACAGCCACTGCAGCCCTGGCCAGGGAGCTGACCCACATGGTCGGCAGACCTCTCCTGTCTCAACCGCTGCTCCCCTCAGCAGTGCATTTCAGTCGATCTGTCTGTTCTGCTTCCCACTTTGTCTCTGGTGAATCCTCTCACCATCACACCTCTGACCTGTACCCCAGTTCTTATATGCAAAAATAAATCAATCTTTTTGTTTAAATCTATTTGACGCACTGATCTAACTTTAGTGCCCAGAACAATGCTACCTGGCTCACAGCAGAGGTCAGTAAATATTTCTTGCACAAATGAAAGGAAACATTATTGAAGACCAGAAGTTTCTTAAAGCAAAGGGAGTCACAGGAAGCCTTCTAATGGTTCTGATAAAGAGGCATGCTTTCCTTATACAGAGAATTATTTTGTCTTTAAAAAAAAAAAAGAGCTTTATGTTTTTATCCCTTTCATATTTGTGAGTAATTAAATGTAGTTAGTTGATTAAGGATATCTGGACTATCGGGCACAGGAATGAGACCCACCTTTCAGGAACCTAACAGTATGTAACTGGTGAGAAAATTAAACAGGTAGAAAACCAAAAAAACCCAAATCCTGCATTTGTGTCGTGTACAGGTTGGCACATAAACATACACAGGCAGGCCCCATGAACCCCGCTTTGAAGATTCCTGCTTTTGATGTTGACCCTGTTTGCTCTGTTCCTTCTTCCTTAGAAAGTGTTTCCTTCATACACTTACACCTACATACAGCCAGGAAAGAAAGCATCATGCCACATAGCCAAGATTCATTTATAAAAAACGGTCGTGTTATACATCTTGGCTGATAATCTAGTACTTGCCCAGCCGCTGAAATGGCCTCTGAGAGAAAGGAGGGGTTGGGGGGTGGGGGCTTTACCACCCTTTGGTTTAGCTGGTTGCAATTTCTCATACATATTCTGCTTGTTTGACGTGATCAGGATGGACACAAACAAAGTGTACTTTGAGCACTCACAAGTGGTCATCTCCCTCTTGCAGATATCAATGTGGCTTATTTAATTCCTAACCCAAGGGGACCTATCAACCCTGGTAGTTCCCTTGGGAAGAAGTTCCTGCCTCCACACCCTTTTTCCTCTCCCCTGTAGCAACTCTTTCAGACCCTCTTCCCACCATTTTTTACTTTCTCCTTTCCACCCAGTCAAGCCGTTCTCCTCTGCTGAGAATCCCTTTTTCTGACTGTTGCTTGATTCATTCTTGATTTACCATGTAACATAGAAATGAACATACTTATCTGACCAATTGTTAGCAGCTCTCTTTACCGAGTATCAGATTTTTGAGATCACTCAGAAGTAGCGATGAAGCCCTGGTGAGAAGACACCCTGGGATGAGAGGATACTCACACGGTACTCACAGCATTTCTCTTTACTCCTTAAACAATCTTAGGCAGTCAGCACTGTTATTATCACCCCACTTTATGTGGGACAATGAGGACAGGGTTAAGTGTCGGGGTTGCAGATTCTAATCAGGGCATTCTGGCACCAACAGGAATCTCAAAAACCTACCTCCTGCTGTGGGCCAAGATCTCAGACCCCCTCACTGTCTGCATTGTGTTCTTATCCACCTGAATGCAGTGCTAACACTCCAGTTATCTAGACCTTTGGGGGGAATATTTCATTTCTTATCCAAGGATGTTAACCTGAAATCTGCCTTCCTCGTGACTTACCTTAGAAAATGACAGCAGACTGTGGTAACAATGGAAACTTCTGTTGGTCTGTCTGGGTTCAGGATGTAAAGAGAAACCCTAAAAACTGTGGGTCCATAAGGAGTTGGAAGAAGGCATTTTTTTTATTTACCAGCCGGGCCTCACACTGTGGCTCCTGCCCCTCCTCCAGGCGGGCCCGTTTGAGTTGGAAGGAAGGTGTTACCCTTGGTGGCTCCTAGGTGTGCCAGGGTCACCTTTTACTTGTATTGGTTCCCACAGAACTTGGTTCATGGAAAGTCTCTGGAGGCTTCCCTGACCCTCCCCTTTTACCTCTACCCTCCCCCCTTCCCTCTACTTTTACCTCTATGGAAGTGACCACTGGAATGAACAACCTTCTGAATTCCTTAGGGTTCTTGAACAGTAACTTGTAAAATCTGAAATCTATCAAATGCAGATACTTGTGTTTCCAAAATCACGCGTCCAGATAGAGGGTCCCTTCGAGGCCCTTCATCTCCCTGAATGCACAGGAGCTATCCAGTAGGACGTTTCAACAAAAGCAAGGCTCTCTGGGCCTCTCTCAACACATGGTGCTTGGTCTTGCCCCAGCTCTTCTCAGCACGACCGTGAGTTCTGATCACTTGGTCCAAATTGCATTGTCCCCGGGAGAGAGGAACCAAAGGAGCCGGCACCTCCATAGTCATCCTTCCCTGCCCTCCATAAGGGGGGTACTCAGTACGTTCTCCCACTGCCTCTCCCCTGACTGGAGCGGCACAGTTCTATGATACTGGGATTTTGAAAAACCCGTTGCTCAGGGCCTGGTTAGCACAACTCCCTCGTTTGCACGTGGTCTGAGAGATCTTCTGCCTAGAAGCACAATACATTCCAGTAGAACACTCTTGCACAAAAGAGGGGGTGAGGGGGGAGGGTGAAATGGGGGGGAGGGTTGAAGTCCAAACTACCAGTCCAACAATGTCACCGGCTGTCATGCACTGAACAGTGACTACAGTCAGTAATACTGAGAGTAGATTTTTGAAAGTTTCCATCATGACCAAAACATTTTGTGACTCTGTGGTGGTGATGACGGACTGGACTTACTGAGACAATCATTTCACATATACTAACATTGAATCATCATGCTATGTATGATGCTATACATCAGTTTTACTTAAAAGGGAGTGAGAGAGACAGCAAAGAGGACAGGTCTAGCCTCCTCCCTCCTGGAGTCAACACTGGGCTACATGTGGCAAATCCCCTGCCGATGAAGTGCCCAACCACTGGTGTCCATTAGCATCCCTCCAGGGGCGGGCACTCGGGCAGGAGGAGGGACCCAAAGACCCCACCCTCTGGTGACCAGCACCCTTCAGAAGGAAGACAGGCTGGCGAAGAGGCTGGAGTCAGTGCTTAAAACAAGGCTGAGCGGTCCCTTGCAGGTGGCACTCTTCCTGCTTCTAGCCTGTTCCTAAACCACAGCGCCAAGAACTGGCTCATCACTTTGCTCCTGTGCGCTGCGGGGAAGAAAAACATGTTGGCTCCTGCACTGTTAGATGCCCTCCAGGTGGCATCCGACTGGGAAAATGGATTCTTCTTACCTTAGCAGCAAAGCTGGCATGAAGACACTGGGACACGGCGGCGGTGGGCCCAGTGGAGTAAGTGGAAAATTCCGAGGAGCCGGAGGCCAGGGGTTCTTGTTTGGCCCGTGGCAGGGGAAGTGTCAGAGACAGATTTATGAGACTCTGGGCAGTGATAAAATAAATTGTTTTAATGGGAGGCTTTCTGAAAGGGCAACTTTTTCTTGGGCTAGTCATCGGTTTCCCTGCCTTGGGGCTTCTTGGGGATGTTCTGGCTGACCCTGAACCCTAGCAGGAGTTAGGGTACCATTCTGACACTGTACCCAGGGCTGCCAGGGACGCACAGGTGTGTCTCAACATCAGGAGATTAGCGTTAGCTGGCAGTTGGTGCAAGACATCCATCCCTGTGTAGGGCCAGGCCTGAGGGAAGGGGCAAGGAGCTTCACCCCCCGCTCAGGCTATTTCTCCATGGGGGAAGAACCAAGGGCAAATCATCTGAAACTTCAACTCTGACCTTTACAAAGAAAACTAATAGACACTTTAGTATTATATACAGGGCAGAGGGGGGAATGGAGGGGGAGGTAATTGCACTTAATTACAGTCATTGACAGCTTACACCATTGGACACATTGACTTCTTTAAAAGAAAACTCAAGATCAGCTGGGGCGGGGGTGGGGGGAGTTTGCTGATATTTACAGTGTGTTTGGCTCAGTTCAATGCACGTGTCCTCCTCTCCTCGTTTCAGTAACAGATTCAAGTTTCATATCAGTTTGTTCGATGAAGAGCATCATATACACAATACAGCTCTCTCTCTTCCTCTTCCGTGGTTTCTTGTCCCCCATCCCGAAGGCAGACAGGGTCCTTGTCGTCATGGGAGAGGCATCGTGACAATACTGCAGGGCAGGGAAGCCGGTGCCTCCTGAGAGCCAGGGCGGACTGTCTGAGGCGCCAGCAGGATGCCAGGAAGCAGGGACTGCTCGCGGGTGCTTTCAGGTCACCGGGCTTTTCCGTGACAACCGCTTGGAGGGTGATGGTGTGGAAAATTGGGTCCTTGTTGCTGTGCACAAAGTAAGCGAGGTGTGGGTATCACCAGGCTTGGAGAGGACACTGCGGAGAGAGAGGAGAGAGCTCAGCTGTGTGCATTTGGCAGGGACATGGGCCATTAGCTTGGCTGCTTCAGGGCACTGACACCCAGCTGAGCCGGTAAAGAGCTCGGGTGGAGGGCGGGACCCGTGCCGCCTCTGGTCTGCAGTCTGTCCTGTAGCGTGCCTGCTTCAGAAGACAAAAGCCAGTGGCTGCCATCCTGGAGACAGTTACAGCTCTTATCCTGAAGCGGAGCTGCTCTTTCTGGGGAGCGGCATTTATAACGACCTTGGGTTGCTGCCCTGGCAGCTGGAGGAAAAGCTCTGGCCTCTTGTGGCAGCGGGGGTCTCTTCCCAAGGCCCCTAAGGGCAGGGGTCACTGTTTCACAAAACTTTAACAGACCAACAAGTGCCAGAGAATCCTGTTATATCTGCTCAGTGGACCGGTGTGGACCGCAGAGTCAGTGTTTACAATCAGCCTCCAGGCTGTGCCACGCGGCCCATCTGCTCTGAGCAACAGGCAAAAAGGACCACCATGTCCTTGAGCTCCCTATGGGGAGGAGTGACGGGTGGCAAAGCAGGGCAAAGACTTGGAGGGCCAGGGGAAGGGTCCAAGAACCGAGGTCTCTGATGCCAGCCTTCTGGGTGGGACAAGGTCAGGAAACCCCAGAATAGAGGAACTTATGAGAGGGGGGCCCACCCACCCTGCGGCCAGGCGGAACAGCATTACTCTCCCTTTTCCGTCCAGGATGTCCCTGCATCCGTCCCCTTTGCGAGCCTCTGTGTATCCGCTTCCCTTCTCGCTTCTGTTGGCATCGAAGGGGAAGGTTCTGCCTTCTGGTTGAGCGACCGATTCCTTTGACTTTCCCTCGACCGCACGCGCACGCGCACGCCTACCGCCACTGCTGCCACAGCTCCGTGACACCCACCCCCGCTGTGAGCTCCTGCAGCCGCGCCCAGGCATGGCCCTAGAGCAGGCTGCTCTTTTGCCCACTTTCCCGAGCAGGCAAACGGCTCGGAACTAGCCAGCGAATGCCCACGGTTTCAGAGGTAGGAGAGCGTGGAGCTGGAGAGTCAACACAGTCCTGGGTGTCTGCCAGCAAGTGTCCTTTCTACAATGCTCTGATTAAGGGCCTTCCACTAGCTTTGTGCTATTATTGGTCAAATGGCTCTCCATGTGCCTCAGTTTCTTCACCTGTCAAACAAGTTGCTGAGGCACTGGTGAGTGGCACTCAGGAAATCCTTGCTATGGTGTTGGCAGGACTGTTCTTACTAACCCCGCAAGGCACTCGCCATGCTGCTCCGAGGACTCTGCAGAGGGCGACGGGGCTGTGCACTCATGTGAGGAGACAGGCCTCCAGCCCTCCACATTCCTGAGGGCCTGGCCAGGGCCCCCTGATACCCTTTGCCTCTTCTTCCTCCCTCCACCCACCCCCACTCTCAAGCCTCTTTACTTCCCACTATCAGCCTTTTTCCAATTTTCAGATTTCAGGTGAAGGAGAGAGAAAATGGCTTGTGACCTTGCAGGTTTCAATAGAAGAGCAAACAAGAAGGGCAGATAAGGAGACGCCAGCAAGATTCTATGACCTGTCATTAGGGATGGGCTTCCCAGCTATCAAATGTTTGCTCACATAATAAAATGGTGGCAGAGCCCTAAATGTTGTCAAAGGAACTAGAGTTATTTGCCCCCTTCAGAGTCTAAACACAAACATCTGATAAGGAGTGTGCTGTGGTTCCTTAGAACTGAGGCCAGCAGCCAGCACACCCAGGCATGGGGGCCATGCCCAGAGGGTGTCCGAGAGCCCAGGAGCCCTCTGTCTGAAAGGTGTGGCCGCTGTGGCAATTGTTAAGGCTATCCTCATTCCCAGAGGATTTGTTACATCATGGTAACGGTTAACATTTATCAAGGGCCTCTTGTGTGCTGGGCACCATGCTAAGTAAGGGCTTTGCACAAATCACTGCCATGAATTCTCACATCCTCCCTTTCAGGGAGGTGACTGCCCAGGTCTGAGACACAGTTTGGAATGCCTGCTACATGCTCATACTCTGCCAGGCTCAGGGTCTGCAGTGGGACGCTGCCTCATTATGCACTCACAGAGTTTGCACTGCAGGGAGGGTTTTGAACATCTAACAAGTAAAAAAAAAGTGCATACATGTTTAATAAAATTTTAGGGGGAGACAAGTACTCTAGGAAAACAAGCTTGGTAACGAGTGAGGGTGAGTTGAGGGAAAAGGAAATCATTTTGGGGAAAAGACCCAAGAGGTGACTCCCTGCGCCTGGGACATAAGAGCTGCAGAAACGGAGCATCTCGTCATGATGTGCAGCAAAGGGTGCCCAGGCAGCAGCGCCGGAGTATCTGCCCTTCTTGTTTGCTCTTCTATTGAAACCTGCAAGGTCACAAGCCATTTTCTCTCTCCTTCACCTGAAATCTGAAAATTGGAAAAAGGCTGATAGTGGGAAGTAAAGAGGCTTGAGAGTGGGGGTGGGTGAAGGGAGGAAGAAGAGGCAAAGGGTATCAGGGGGTCCTGGCCAGGCCCTCAGTGGGATTCCCACACCAATTTACCCAAGTGCCATCACCACAGTCCATTGTGCTCTTCCCACCCCAGTTTGATCCTATTCCCCGCCTCCCACCCTAGACTGCTGGAGAGTTTTGACAGTGTTGCATGAACAGATCTTACTCACCAACAGGAGACAAGAGTGGGAGTGGGAAATGGGGAGATCAGTGAGAAGTGGAGGTGGAGGAGGGAAGAGGCATCATGAGAGGCGGCCAGATTTAGGTTGTGCTTTAAGGAATCTACAGCAGAGTTTTAGTGGTGGACTGGATGAGGGGTATAGAGGAGTCAGGGTTGATACTCTCAGGCATCTCATCTGGATTGACACCACCTTGGAAATGGAGGAGTCCAAGAGGAAACAATTTAGGTAGGGAGAAACCGGGGCACAATGAAAAGGGCCTGTTTCAGGCCTGGTCAGTTTGAGAGGCATCAGACTTCTGAGGCTCACAGATGGGCACGCCAGCGACGCACAGGTGTGTGACTGGGCGCTGGGGGCAAGGTGACAGGCTCTGCTAGGGTGGACACTTGTCTGCAGTCAAGGGACTGGAGATCACCATCCAGCAGTGAGCATACAGCGGCCCAAGAAGGCGCCCGGGGCCCTCCAACCAATGAATTGGACAGATGCGTTTTCAGCCAAGGAAATGCGGAGTAGCCAGTTTCACAGGGAAGACCCAGAATGGGGAGGTCCTAAAATCCAACTGAACAAAGGAAAGGGGGATTGGCTGTGCAGAGAGAGAATAAAGTGACCACTGTCGGGGAGGTGGCAGTGAGTAGACAAGGGGGGTGTCAGTGGTTGGAAAGCCGGGCTAAGGGTGAGGAAGCAAGGATGAGTATAGATAATTCGCCTTATCATTAGGTGAGCTGATAGCTCTATTCATGAAAAGGAATGGCTGTATTTCTAGATTTTTTTCTTTATATATATATATATATATATATATATATATATATACACACACACACACACACACACACACACGTGTGTGTGTGTGTGTGTGTTTTGCTGTATTTCTAGTTTTTACAACAAGGGGACTGAGGTCTGGAGAGAGCATAAATAACTTGCCAGGTGTCATGACAGAAAAGCTGATGTCTTTTATTATGTGAGAGCACTTCCTCCCAACCCTATCTCCTTTACCATTGAAAACCTTCCATCCCAAGCTCTAGAGACACTCAGGGCTGCCGACAGGGGAAGTCTGACCTGCTGCTGTGGCCTGGGTGTTTCTTAGCACTGAGCTAAGTGTCACAAATCTTACAGCACTTAGTCCGTTCAACAGCCCCATAAAATCAGATAAAAAAACTAAAGCTTAAAGAGAGATTAAACTCTCCCATAAGGTCCCACAGGCAGAAAGTGGTAGAATTTGTGCCCTGGTCTACCTAATTCCCAAGTGGGTGCTCTTAGTCATCAAACTCTACACTTCATCACCAGGCAAGAAGGTGGGGGTGTATGTGGAAATCGGCTGCAGGGAGTTCATGTGGAGGCTGTCTTCCTCCTTGTCAGCACCCCTGACCAGCGACTACTCCTGGGGCCCTCTCCTGACCTCTCCATAAACTAGGAAGTGGAGCAATGGGCAGAGAAGTTGTGGAAACAGGAGTCAGCGCACAGCCTGCCCACACTTGTTCTAACTGAGGTTGGTGCTTGTTGCAGTCTGGTCTGCAGACGGGCGGGGCATTGTTTTGCAGGAATACAGCACAGACCCACTCAGATGGGCCTTGGCAGCACTCAAAGCCTGAGAAAATGAGGGGAGCCAGACACTCCAGAAAGGAAAGGGCAGATGGCAATAGCTGCAGAGGGGTTCCTGGGGGAGAAAGTCCCAGCCTGAGGTTCCGCAAAGTTATCCCCAAAGTCCCTGTGCCTGTCTTGGCAAGGGCAAATAATGGGATCAGACAGACGCAAGTTCAAATCCTGCCTCTAGCCTTGGGTAACATGGGTCATTATTATAAGTGCTTAGAAATGGGTATTAGAGCGCCCTCCCTGGTGGCGCAGTGGGTTAGGGCGCAGCCCTACAAGCTAGTCGCAGCCACTTTAGTGCGAGTTCAATTCCCAGCCCCAGAGGTGACCCACATGGCGCGGCAGACCTCTCCTGACCTGCCCACTGCTTCCCTCAGTAGTGCACTTCGTTAATCTGCCTTTTCTGCTCCCCACTCTGTCTCTGGTGACTCTGCTCACTGCCCCTGCACCTCTGGCCTGTACCCCAGCTCTGTATGCAAAATCTTTACCTCAAAAACAGGGTATTAGAAAGAAAGTGTTATTTTTATGGATTTGGTCTGGAAATCAAGCTCCAGTTTTACCCTCTGTGTGAACTTGACCAGATCCTTTCTCTATACTTCAAATTTTAGTTTGCATATCAGGCATTAAAAATATCTGGGTGAGGGGTTTATCAGTCAAGGAAAGGTAAGATGGAAAAGCACCCAGAGCTTGGCAAATAGGGGGCACTCAAAAATGCCAGTTTTGAATTCCTTTCTTCTTTGCTTCCATCTTCCCCTACTTTTTCTTGCTTTCCCCCTCCCCACCTCCCCCTTTACTTGCATGACATGAACGTCTGCTATAGCACAGGTATTCATCCAAGCGCAAAGAAATTGGGTGCTTGGAGAGAGTCCTGAACTAGTTGCTTTTCTCCTGGGAGGTGGGTAAGAGGGCATCTCCACATCAGCAGAAGGGAAACAGGAATCTGAAGCCCAGGTCCAAGAAGTAGAGGACCCTTGAGAGCCCTAATCTTGACAAATTTTACTGCATCTCCTTTGGCCACAGGTAGACTAAGCAACAGTTCAGGAGCTGAAGGAAGGCGTCTCTTAAAGGATCACAGAAAGGAGAACAGGAAAGGGTTCCGAAGGACATGAACCGTGCGCACTCCACAGGCCCTCTGAATATTCTGGAAGGTGGGGGTGGAGTTTTTCCAGCTTATAGATGAAGAAACTGAGCCACGTGGTGGTGAACTAACTGCCTAGAGGTGATGCGGCTGGGATTCCTGTAGGTCTGGGGCTTTGCTGCGCACCCCTCTAGCCCACTGCCTTCTAGCACCACCCAGTACGTGTCCCTTTGCTGAGTAGTCAGTGCCGTGCGCATTAAACACTGTGTGCCACATGCACACCAGCACACGGGAGGTCCAGACAGCCTGCCCATGCGGGTGAGCTGCTTATTGTAGCCTCTCCCCCAGCGGACCTTACTGAGGGAGCCTCTTTTCTTCACATGTCCCCTGCCTCCTAGCCATGGTCTTGAAACGCCTTCCTGAAGATAATGTTTGAACACAAGGAAGAAGCAGAATTGCCACCAGGTTTCATCCAGACACAGTTCTGCTCCTTGCCTGGGGGAACAGAGCTTGAAAGCATTTTCTTCACCGTGGGTTGCTCTGTGGTGATGAGGTGGCATTGTATCCTCATTTTATTTCATTCTGCCTTTCTTATTCCCTCTTCTTCAGTTTGTGGGAAGAATTTCCTGATTGGATAATGGTATGTGGTTTCATTGTGACTCTTGTTTCTGACTTGTAAAGACACAAGAGCAGTGACTAAAATGGACATCTTAATGATGAGGGGTGGAAGAAGCCCAGGATTGCAGTCAATGACCAGAGTTTGGAGGTCCAGCGCTAGAGTTTATTATCTCTGTGCGTCCTTGGACAAGACACTCTGAGCCTTAGCTAATTTCTTCCAATTTTGTAAGAGGTTTCAATAACATGAAAATCGTGAGAAGTATAAACTGTAAAGTTCTGTGAATAGTTTACGCTTACTAGTAATCCTCATCATCCCAAAAATAAGCCTGTCATCAGACCCTGAAGTATTTGGGGGCTTGGAGACAACTTCACGGTAGTTCCAGAGGGCCGCTCAGACAGCTTCAAGGTCGGCTGGCCACTCTGTCCAGTGGAGGGAGAAGCCATCTGGGGCCAGTGCAGTGTCTGAGAGAGCATTGTGAAGTATTTTGATTAAGAGACCATTTCCTGAATTCAGAAGACTTGTTTCAACAAGCAAGCATCAAAGTCAACTTGGGAAAGACAGCAATAATTAATCACGGTCCTGTCTAGGGCCGACCAAGCGGCAGATGGATTGATAAACCTTTCAAAGGGGAAGGTATTCCCAAGGAGGGCTGCTGCGCCTGGCTGCCCCCCTGATTGAGATTTGTGAGCACAGAGAAATGTTTTCCCTGCTCACTACAAAGAGTGGGAAATCACACGGGAGTCGAAGGGCAGGGCGATGGGGGTGTCCTTTCATCTTCCACTGGGTGAGAGAAGAGTGGCAAAGCAGGTCCCACACACATCTCCCTTTGCCCCCGCCTGCAGGGCCTGGCTGCCTAGGTAGCGAGAGCTGGTGCCCATGGTGCGCCTGGCACTTTGGCTGCAGGACGCCTCAGCGGATCTGCAGGACGCCTCAGCGGATCTGCAGGACGCCTCAGCGGATCTGCAGAACAAGTATGATTCTCATCTTAAAGGTGCAGAAAGGAAGGCTTAGGGCGATCAGGTCACCAAGCAAATGCAGAAAGCCAGGCCTGGAATCCACCTGAGCCACGACCTGCAGGGCCAGGAGGTGCAGGTGAAGGGAAGGAGACCCCCAGCCTCTGAGTGAACCTGCTCAGGAGCCCAGGCCGTGGCTGCGGTGTGATCTGCAGGGCTCAGAAGAAAACGGGCCTACCAGACCCAGCCCAACTGAGAGGCTCCGACATGAAGTTCAAGGTTGTCGCCTACTTATCTAGTAATCAATAAAGGTCAAATAGTTCCCACACTGCACAGAGCCCAGCTACTAAAAGGTCCTATTGTGTAACGCTGGAACTGCCATCTGTATTCAGACACCTTGTCCTGTTTAACAACTCTTGGGCATCACTGGTGTCCAGCTGTCCAAGATGCAGTGAAGAGCCTCACTGTGGGGCCTCCATTATGCCATCACCTCTATGGGAATTAGTGATCAACTGAAACAGTTGACTCAGCCTCTGGATTCCTCACCTTCAGTGCACTGGGAGGTTGATTCTAAATTTCTCCATAAAATACCACCTGAATGGAGCTCCTGAAAAGACCACACCACCTAATGGGAAGTCCCTCTGGGTTCATACAATTGAGCCATTCTCTGGCGCTTACACAGCTCTGGGTTCAGCAGACAGGGAACATCAATCTCGGGACCCTGCCTTACACCTGACTTTCTCCAGTGATTAACTTCTAGAAAACTCTCAGGAATGCCTCTAACACTAACAAAAGTATGCAACTCCACAGTGGGTCTGACTTCCTGAGACTGCCTTGAATTAATTACACATCAATTCATTGGGGGACACTCCATCACAATGCCTAGAGGCTCTGTGTATTTCAATTTCTAGCAACTTAGCAAGCTTCCATCCTCACTTAATATTCCTGTTGAGCAAGTTGGGGGGAGCAAAAAGTCTCTTCAGCCCATGGCCCATTTCCCTGTGACCTCAGGGATTCCTTCAGCAGGGGACAGGCAGTCTCAGAGGGGTCACACTGTGGCTGAGCCCACACTTGCCACACATCCTGCATAGCAACAGCCGAGGCCACACCCCCCGCCCCTTCTTCTTGGTGTTACCTGTTTACTGGAAGGCATGTTGGTCAGTGTGCTGATGCTGCTGGTGTCTGTGACCACCATGGCAGACGGGAACCGGGAGGTGTGGGAATACTGGGGGGGTTCCTGCTTGTGTGTGTACACTGGGGAGACAGAGTGAAGACAAGAACAATGTCAGGTCACACAGGCAGATGCACAGTTACAGACCGCCCACCCCACCACACCTGCTTCTCTGAGCTGATAGAAGGGGGCAAGGGGTGGTGGTGGTATTAGGGAAGGTGGTGTGATGTGGGGAAAGGAATGGCCATTTTAAATCCAGGCTCCTTAAGTTACTCAACCTTGTTTCCTCACCTGTCAAATGGGAATGGTATCTGTTGGGGTTAGAAGAGGTCATATCTGAAGCACCTGTACCAGAGAATAAACAGCCAAGTACAGCCGAGTAGTGGTGGACTAGTGCTGGTGTCCTGGGAATACTCTGGGGGCCTGTGGGGAGCACACTGCCAGGCTCGGGTGGGCGGGGACACATGTGGTCACAGGCTGCTACAGGCTGTGTCAAATTTTTCAGATGCCACGAAAATGTGATTGGAATGTGAGATGGTGCTGAGAAACCAGCTTCTCAGGCCTGAGCGGAGTATTCACCACTTTCACCAAAGTCTAAGCATCCACAAGTGCTTATATGGTGCATCTCAGATCTCAAGTCCCAGAAAGTTCTAAGCAGCTGGCCAGCACCTGCCGCCACACCTGCCATGACTCAAGCACCAGCTCCCGTGTGGCCATTGTCGAGTGATTTGAAGTTGCAGTTAGACGTGGGTGTAGGTAATTGTCTCATTCTGGACTGTTCTGGTTTGTGCTTAGAAGACGCATACTTATGACATCACAGAAATATGAGGGATGATAGACAAAGGGAGACCGATTCACATAAAACCTCCAGGAGCATGTGACTCATTGTTTTAGTTTTTTTTCCAGTACTCGTTCACCGAGTCTAGAACCTTTTGACTTGGGCTAGTTATCAGTACATTTCAGGTCACATGACCAATTAATGAAAGCATGTTGCTGCTAGGCCCTGAAGGCGGGCCCAGCCCGGTCCCCTGGTTAGGAAGGGGGACGAAGGTGACCGCCCGCCCCTCCGCTTGCCCTTCGCAAGCTGGGAGGCTGGTTGTTTCCTGGTCTGGGGTCCCTTGGACAATCCCTTCATGCCCAGCCAGTCCACAAGTCACTGGTGACCACTTTCTGACTGTTCCACCAGCCTGGCCATCAAAGAAACCTGCCCAGGTGAGGGGGCCTGTCGGGAGCACACTGCCAGGCTCTGGGAGGAAGGGGAGGGCCACATGTGGTCACAGACTGCTACAGGCTGTGTCAGATTTTTCAGATGCCATGAAAATGTGATTGGAATGTGAGATGGTGCTTAGAAACTAGCTCCTCAGGCCTGAGGGGGGAATGAGCCTGAGGAAGAAGTTTGAACTTGGCTGTTCGCCTTTCAGACTCGTATCTCTAACTGTAGCAACCAGGGAGAAACTAAAATATTCTTCCCCACTCCTGCCTATTAAGCACCCCTTTAATAAGCAATCACTTGTGTCTCTATAATCCTATGCTTACATTAATGGCTCTTCAGTATTTCGATTTCATCTCCATAATCACTTTACACACATATTTCCATTTTATAGATGACGCAGTGGAGACTCAGAGGAGCAAAGTAATTTACCAATAGCTGGTAAGACTCAGAGCCAAGAGTTAAATCTAAGTCTGTCAAACTTCGAGACTAGCACTATTCTAGAGACTTCTCTGATGTTCTCTGGGACCATTCCTGAAACAAGAAGGTCATCCTTTTTATGGTTGCTCCCCAAATATATATAGGCCAGGGGCTTTATCCTGGTATGGCCAGAGAACTGGAGGCCTGGGGCTTGGGATTAGGACAGAGATGGAGGTGGTGGGGTGACTGGGAAATAGGTAGCTGAAGGTAGATTCAGGTAGATGTAGAAATGGATACAGGGACTCGCCTTTGTGAGCAGGCAGGAATGCCAATATTCCTTGCCCCTGATGCTGCACAGCTGGTGTTTTCCACCAGGGCTCTTTCTTGTTTTTTCATTAGACTCCACCTCTGGGTATATAAGTTGGAGGACCAGGGGGACTCTGGAAGGTTTTTCTATTTGCAAATGCAAATAGGATGCAAATGATATACCAACTCTGATGACTTGGTAATAGCTGCTTGGAATGTTGAGGCTTAAGGGGGAAAGGTGCTATGGTTGACTACTGACCTCTTCTGGGGGTGGGGGCAGGCTGGGAACTCGTGGCATGTATCCCATATTAGTTACCCCTGGCTCTCTAGCTCCACCTCCCCTGTACAGTCAGCTCAAGTATCTTCCTGAGGAATTTGGGGGTAGAGAAGAGGACTAGAAAAGGTTTAAGAGTCATGCTTGAGAACTGACTGGTTTGAGAATGGGGGGGGGGGCGGAGAGGAGGAGAGTGACCACACCAATAAACTTCCAAGACAGTTCAGACCCAGAGAGGGGAGAGGCTGCAGCTGAGGGCAGCTGAGAGACGGAGCCCCCTCCCTCACATGCTGTGTCCTTACTGTGGGAGTTCTGCAGCTGAGTCACAGTGGCCATGAAGGGTGGCTGGGCCATGTGGCTGCCTGGGCTCTGCTGCATGAGGGGCTGCTGGTGAGGGCTGTGCAGCTGCTGGGAGAACTGGACAGGCTGCAGGGCTGCCAGGCTGCCAGCCACGCTGTTGATGACAGGGATGCTCTGAGCTTGGGAGGTGTTGAGGCCTGTGGGAGCAAGAAGGAAAGATGAGAGATGGTTTCAGGGTTGAGGAGAGGTAGCTGGACAGGGACACTCATCCAGAGGGCCATATGCTAGGCACTAGGCTAAACCTGTTACAGAAGAGATTGCATGGGTGTGCAATGGGGTGGGGGGGGGGAGCAGGGGCAATTTGATAGACAAAGAAAAGCTTGGAGAGAGTGATCTGTCCAAACGCCACAGTGAGTTGTGGCTGGGGACCAGTTTTAAAATGCATCTCTCATTAGGGCCTGAGTCTCTGCAAGTCATTCCAGGACCTTCCAAACTTAGCAACCTTGAGGAAGCAAGGGACCTGCAAAGCTGGCCCTACCTGCCCACTCTATCCATGCCCAACTCAGCAGGCTTGCCCTATGTCCCCACAGTAAGAGTGTCCATTCCAAGGTGTGCATCAGTGCTCAGATCCATCTGTCCAGAAGAGGGCAGGAGTGTACAGGAACCCATATTCTGATGCGCAACAAAACCACCTCCAGTCCCAGAAGCATGTCGTCTGAAGGCCTTCATAGGGCAGGCAGTGCCGAGACCCTGAGCGCCCAGGTGCCCATTCTCTTCACTGTAGCAGAGGGCACCAAGAAGACACAGCTCAGCCAGCCTCTGAGAGGGCCGATCAGATCCGTCAGACAGAGCTTCCGGCGTCAGAAGGACCAGACAGTGGAAGGAGGAAACATTCAGGAAAATGCTGGCAGTTACAAGAGGTCTTGCCATTGTTGTGTTCTGGGGCATGAGGTTCTCTGTGATTCTGTGTTGTTCTACTTCCTGAGGGCCCTTTGGAACTGAGGCCAGAGTGGCCAAGTTTGGGCCACTGGTGCCTGCTTTCCAGGACCTTCCCTGAGCAGGACCCTGGGGAAGACAGCTGGACACAGTGGGAGTAGGGACAAGCATCATGGAAGATGCCCATTCCTCCCCTAGAGCCACTAAGGTTCCTCTGACTGAGTTTTGTAGAGAGTGAGGGGAAGAATAGCATGAAGGGAATTCAGGAAAAGGGCTCATTTAGGCAAGTGCAGAGAAGTGGAGAGTTTTTCTTTTAAAGATTTGTTTTTAATTTATTTATGCCTACAAGAATTGGGGTGTACGCCAGAGGTGCAGGGGCAGGTGGGGGGGGATTCACCAGAGGCAGAGTGGGGAGCAGAACAGGCAGATTGGCTGAAATACACTGATGAGGGGAGCAGGTCAGCTAGGAGAGGTCTGCTCTACCCTGTGGGTCAGCTCTGGCCAGGGAGGAGCTCATGTTGCAGGGGCTGGTGATTGCTTGACAGTGCTGTGTCTTTAACCCCTGTGCCACCAGGGAAGCCAGAGAGGAGTTTCATAAGGAAATTCAAAGGAAGTGCTCCAGGGAGACAGCACAAAGATCTCCAAAATTACCTACTCAGAGCTTCAGTTAATACCACTATTGCAAATCTAAAAAGCAAGACCCATCGCCTGAAATGTAGAAGGGCAGAAGTCACTCCTGGTTCTCTTAGGGAGGCTTGAGGGTGGAGTCTCCTGATCACCCTCAGAATACTACCATCTCCAATTCCCCATGCTACCAGACACCTGATATCTTGTCTCCTTCTCCTACCACCTTCTTATGGTCTTAGTACCTGAGGCGAACCATGGATTTTCTGTTTTCCCAGGCGCCTTTTGCAACTGCACTTCTTGGGAAACTGCTCTGTCTAGAAAAGCAAATTTTCCTGTCTAGAGTGGATGACATTTGAGGGCATAGTTCTGAAACCTGCTTGTGCTTTAGAATTATCTAGGGGAGCTCTTTAAGAAATATACATTCCTAGGCCCCACCCAAGACTTAATGAGTCAGAACCTTCGGAGGTGAGGCGCAGGAATCTTATTTTCAACATGGGCTGTGACCCTGTGCCGCAATGCCAGGACTGAGAGTTACTGATGTCATTCCAGCTCCCAGTGGAGTGTGACTCCTGGCCCTGGTTTCTGGGCAATGGCTCCTGCTTAAACAGCCTGTTGTCCAGTTCAGTTAGCGAGTCCAAGCAGCTGCCAGGTCATTCATTATCATATTCACTCTGGGTCTCTGCAGACCTGAGACAGGGTCCATGATCTCAACAGGACACACGTTCCTATTTAAATAAGGATCCTGCAGGCATGCTGACACTCCATAAGGTTTCATGACACTCCCTCAGCTGAGCTTTCTGAGGTTCTTCACACTCCAAGTATACACGCATGTGTGTGCAGCACAGACACACATAATTCTAAGGGCAAGATACTCTCTGGTACTGAAGTGAGAAATTAAAACTATCGTGAGAAGGCAGAGAAGGATGGGTGGAGGAGGTCAGAAGGCACCTGCTTCCAATTTAAAAATACGGAATATCCACAGGGCAAGAGAGTACCCAGAGAATTGACAACTGTGTGCATCAGTTAGAAATGAGTGGAAAGGAGGTAAGTGAGTTAGTTTATGTATCATTTTGGTTGTAAAATAAAGTAGGCTATATCGCCCATGGGACTTTACATCCAGTCTTCTAGAAGGCAAACCAGTTTGTTCTAGGCACCCTTTCTCATTCTCAATCCAGTCCTTGGCATTGGCATGGTTAGCATATTCCTGGAAGGGGCCCAGTGAAAAGTACAATAAATTGAGAATAAGTTCTTCTTCTATGGGCCTTCTGTCTTTGCTATTCCTATGCCCTCTGAGGAAGTAAATACGGAGTTCACTGACTTCCTAGCAGTTAAGGATAGAGAGCCACACTCATTCAGCAATCTGTACCGCCCACAGGTGTGGCCTTGTTTCTCTTCCAAAGAGCTCCTGTCGTTCTCTTTAGATGTGGTCTGAGTTTCTACCCTGGGTTGGAGTTGATTTAGCGAGGGGGTGGGGGAAGGAAGTAAAAAGGCAGGAACAGAACGAAAAGAAGCAGTTGACATGGACATTGGACCCAAGGAGGGACAGGGGCAGCAGGGCAACACCCTGCCCCACGGGTGAGCACCTGCCCCTCGAGTCTCCGCCAAGGCCTCTCACGCACACGCCCCAGGGGCACGATGGTCTTTCTTAGAAACAACACTTTTGCCCAAGTTGTGATAAAGTTGTAGCGCACTGGATACTCAGCAAAATTAAAATTCTAAGAGAGGCATCCATGACATAGCCTGCCTCCGCCTTCCTGCGGCCCCACGGGGCCCTCTGTGTGAGAGTACAGGCTGGCTATGGAATGTGGGCCTTCTGGGGCAGGAAGGGATGGCTCTCTCTTCCTGTCTGTGGCATGGGCTTAGCTACAGGTCTCAGAGCTGCTATGACAGTTTCCCTTGGAGTTCCTACCAGTGGATTGTCACTACTGGCCCAGGAGGTCTTATCTCACCACACAAAATTCCCTATGAAAAGGAAGTCCATTGTGCCACATTCGATCTTCACCAACACACAGAAACATCAGCATGCAGATATTTAGAGAAGGGACTGGAGAGCAGACAAAGTACAAACTATGGCACTGGAGAGCAGACAAAGTACAAACTATGGCAATACATATACTCACGCCTTATAGATTTATAAACGTGTCAATAGGTTGTCATCTCAGCAACCCATTTACAGATGAGGAGACTGAACCTCATTAAGAGGTTGCACAGGGCCTCCCTGGTGGGGCAGGAGTGGAAGTCTTAGTGCCATCAAGCTATCACCAACCACTGTGGCATGAGTTCCATCAGCAGCCAGGGAGCTGACCCACACGGCACAGCACACTTCTCCTGTCTCACCCACTGCTCCCCTCAGCAGTGTGTTTCAGTGGATCGGCCTGTTCTGTTCTCTGTTCTGTCTCTGGTGAATCCTCTTGCCAACCCCTCCCCTGACCCCCGACATCTCTGGCCTATACTTATATCCCTGTTCTTGTACTTATAAATAAATAAACTTAAATCTTTAAAAAAAAAAAAGATTTCACAGCTGGCATTCTGTGAACAAGATTCAATTGTCCCTTGTTTTACATGAAACAATCCAAATTTGTGAAAGAAACAGGCATTAAACCTTCCCTGGTGGTGCAGCAGGTTAAAGCACAGCACAAGAAGCTAAAGCCACTTCAGGATGCGTTTGATCCTCGCCCGGGAGGTGACCACATGGCGTGGCAGACCTCTCTTGTTTCACCCACTGCTCCCCTCAGCAGTGTTCTTCAGTTCTGCCTGTTCTGGTCCCCACTCTGTCCCTGGTGAATCCTCTCACCCTCCACATCTCTGGCCTGTACCCCAGTTCTGTATGAATAAATAAATAAATCTTAAACAAACAAAAAAAGAAATAGGCACTAAAGAGGCTGAATCAAATGTATACATTGTAGGTGAATTGCAAGGGAGTCTTGACTCCTTTTTCATCAGATTGACTCTCTTCCTATTCTTCCTCTCCCTCTTTCCCCTCTTCCCCACCCCCAGTTCTCTGACCAAGAACAGGGCTTACTTTGTGCAATGGCCATGACACCGGAGAGAGGGGTCATGATGAGGTTTTGAGATTGCTGGGGATTATGGTGGGACAGGCTGTGGATATTCGTCAAGGTGCTGACAGGGGGCAGACCTCCTCCTGAGACTGAGATCTGCTGGAGAGAAAACAGGCACAGCATGAGTGAAACAGAAACTGTAAAGTGCAGTGTCCAAAATGAAATGACTTAGCAATTCCTTGGCATGGCCAAGTCACTTATTCATTCACTCACTCATTGAACAGCAATTATTAAGTGCCTACTGTATGGGACAGGCACTGGTCTAGGGACTGAGGATAAAACAGTAAGTGACACAGACGGTGACCCCTGCCTTCATGGTGCTAGTGCTGGTTGACTGTCATTGGCTTACAAGCCCATATGTGTATTAACCAGGTGTACCCTCTACTCTGCTTTATTGGTGCGGTGCTAAAGACATAGGCCTGTTCAAAACAGTAACATAAGAAGTACTCTGGGTTTCCCTATGGGAACAGATTAGGGACCAGGCCCGTGTGCAGGAACGTGCTTACTGACTCCAGGCTCTACTAAGCACTGCTAATACGTTAACTCATGAGCTTTGCTATATTCCAGGAGGTAGATACTCTGCCACTCCCATTTTGCTGATGAGAGAAGCATTGCCTGAAGTCCCACAAGTAGTAAATGGTACCTTTGGTATTCAGATCCAATTTTGTCTAACTCTGGAACTCAAGTTCTTTTTAATGGGGGACTTTCCCCAATTCCTGAAATTGTTCAGAAGAGTTGGGAAGCATCAGCCGTGATTGGACTCTTCTCCTTTTTCCATTTCTCCACTATCATTAAAATTTCTTTTTTGTCAAGAAGTGGATGCTGTAATAATGAAGTTATAAGCAAAGTCTTGGGCTTTGTTTGACCATATTTTAATGATAGATGAATAAGAGAAAGCTACCAAGTTTTATGTATTTACTTTTTTTATGGTTCCTTTGAATCCTGTTATTGAGGACTGAACCCTTTTATTTATTCCGAATAGTTCTCTTCCTTGTTGATTTTCTCCATTTTCCCAAGTGCATATGGCATGTAATGCTAGATGGGCTCCTTCTGCTATCACTAATATGTCTACATACCATATGGTTTTGGTCAGAAATTTCTGGTTAGCATTAAATAAAAACAGCTGAAATAGATGTGCTTGCTTGGATTTCTCTGTTATCAGAAAAACATCCAATGTTTCCCCACAGATAGAAGGGAGTTACCAGTTTTCACATACCCATTTCTTTCATGATAGTTGACTATAACTTAATTTTTTTTTTAATTATTAAGGACTGCTCCCTTCACTACAAGCGAATCCAGATATTGTTGGTGGCATCAGGAACACACTGAGAGCTGCTTTAGGGGTAGGACAAGTACAGAGATGCCTGAGCTCCCCAGTTTTCCTCCTCTCTGTCATGACCAAGAGTACCTCTGATTGCTGGTCTCACACCAGCTTCCTTCCTACCCTTCTGGCCAACCGCCTAGCTTACAAGGTTAATTTAAAAAAGAAAGAAAAAAAACCACACAGGGTTGTTTGTGTTTTTGAAATGAGCATCAAGAAATGACTTAGGGATCATGTGACCAAGAAGGAATTCTGACCACATCAAACAAGAGAGAACCAGCCTGTTTGCTGGACTTGTTTTTCAAAATGTCAGAGTCATAAAAAAAAAGTCAGTAATCTGCCTTTGCACTGAGTCCCTTGGGTGATGTAGTCCTTTGGAGTAAGTCAGTGAAGTGACAGTAATCTCTGCCATCTCAGTGTTTGGTTTTGAAGGGGAATAAGAAACAATGGGATGCCAATAGAAAACAATACCAGTAGGTATGCCTTAGCATATGTAAATGACTTTCACTGGTTGTCCTCAGTAGATAAGGACACAAACAGGCAAGGAGTCATTATTGTCTTCATGGCACAGATGAAGAAACTGGCCTCAGGAGAGCTGAGGAACTAGCTCTACGTCACCTGACCAGTACGAGAAGAGGCAGAATTAAGCACTGTTTTTCTGGATGTTAAATCCCATCCACTCATGCTGTTTAGGTAATTCCGGCCAAGTTCCTTTCCACTCTAAAATGCAACCATTATCATCTCTGTCTCGAGAAATGATAGAGCAGGGAGTTGTCAAGGATGTCAGCCAAGAGCCTCACATAATAAACTGGAGAGCCTACATGATGGCAATTCTGTCGCTTGCCGTTCTTCCACCAAAGTAATTTATGTGCCTCAGTTGTTAGATCATATTGCTGTGCTACCATGAAGACATCCAGTGTGTGCTTAAAAAAAAAAAAAAAGAAAGAAAGAAAGAAAGAAAAAGAAAAACAAGGTCCAACACATACAAACCTAAACCTGAGCAGCTCTTTGCCCATGTGTGACATTTGGGCAGAGGGTGGGGCAGAGGGACTGCGACAGAAAAGTCAAGTGAATCAGCTTTACTTCCAAACCAGGGGAGATTTCAAATGCATGACCTACTGAAAGTCAGCACGCAAATATTGTCATTCCGTGCAGGGCTTCACCAAAGACCAGCAGAGCTGTCGGTGACCACCTCACGAACCCTACGACACAGCCGTCACTATCCTCCACTTTATATCAAGGAAACTGAAGTTAAACAATGTCCATCTTATTACTGATAAATAATGGAGCCAGTGTTTGGACACATTGGTTCCCTTGCCTGCATTATTTTTAGCCATACTCTACTCTCACCTTGGTAGAACAAGACTTGCGATGGACTTGTTATATATTAACAGAAAACAGACTCTTGAATTTGGGCATCCAGTGTTAGTGACATAACATACGAGCCAGGGTGCTGGAGACTGGTGAAAACCTGGTCCCTGCAAACAAGCGTCCAGGTGTTTGCTTACGCTGAGGTGTACTGTCTTGGTCAATTATCAATCCAGTGATCCAATGCCCACTAGGGCACTGCCGAGCAGAACAGGAAGGAAAAGCAAAAGTGTGTCTGCAGGCAGCCTTTGAGCAGCCTGGGTGACGGTGATTTGCCTCTTAGGAAGAAGGTCAGGGGCTTCAAGGGAAGCCCTGAGGACCTTCAGGCAACAGGAACAGAGGCTAGGAAGGTTTCATTCACCTTGAGAAGTCACGGTGTCTGCCACAAGGCCCCCTTCTACAGGAAGCCAGGCCAATTCTTTTCCCTATCTCGTCTGGGTCTCAAAATGCCTTTGGAGACTTGTCTGTGTCACTCACGAAGTAGCTAAGACAAATAATTGTGCAGGAAGAAGTTTAAGGGGTGAGAAGAGGGCAAGAGGACTGCTGAACAACTCCCACAGGAGTGCTGTCCATTGTAGTTTCTAGTAACCACTACCAGGAGAGCAGCTCCAGTCCCAGCACTCGAGGTGGCTGGGCCAGCTTTCCCCTCGGAAACCACACTTTGTTTTTCCTCCAGGGAGTTGGGGATTCAATCACCTGTGACTCGCCATTCCTACACAACACCACATGTCAAGGTCTAAACTGGATCTGCTCCCTGTCTCCTGCCCCCACTGGGCCCCTACCTGCCCTCGGGTCAGACACCTTGAGGGACCGTGTGCAGCTCCACCTTGAACATGGAAACCCAGAGCCTGCAGCTCCTCCCTCTCCAGCAACAAAGCATGACCCAAAGAATAAAGTTTTCCATTCCCAACCCTCCCTAGTGTTGTAATGCTTGTGCTCTGTCATAAGCACGCTCTGGAGGATTAGAACCTTGAACTTCAAATTCAAATAGTCTACTCCTCACCAGTGTGCTAACCTTACATCTGGCTGTGGGCTGTGGTCATGGATAGGGAACTTCACTTAAAGAGAACAACACTGGCATAAACCTAACAGCCACCTAGTGTCACTTACTGAATATTGTTCTAGTCCTGTGCTGTGTTATTTCCTGAGCTGCCACATCTGTTCCCTCAACAACCCTCTGGTTATTACCACTGTTTTATAGACAAGAGAGACCTAGAGTAGTTCAGGAACCTGCCCAAGGCTACAGAGCTATTAAGTGCTAAAACTGGGATTTGAATCCTGGTCATTGCAACTTCAAAGTCGGTGTTCGTAGGTGTGGCCTTGCCCTACCTCCATTTTGTGCTGTGATTGACCCTGGCATGCCAGCCAGTGTCTTTCAAGACCCCAAGTCAAGAAGTTTCTCCCCACCACATGCTACCCACTAAATCCTTGCTAGAACCAAGGAGGTGGTAAAGAATAAGAGGGGGCTTGTTTCAAAGTGAGGAGCTCCCTGGGTTAAAAAAAACTGGCTTTGGAGGCCATGGGATGGGGGAATAAACATTTTATCAACGCAAATGTCATTGGCAGCCCCAAAACAAATAGTGTCCCACCCGCTTGCTCCTTTATGAGGCATTCAATCAATAAAATGAGAGCAGCGCTCTGTCAGATTTATTGGCTGGGTTCAAACTGAACACCTCTTCCACCCGCCAAGGGCTGGGTCACCAGCTCTCCCCTCTAACTCTGGACAGCCCCCATTTTCCCCTGTGGGGTTACAATGGTTCATTGTTTGAGGCAGGCCTTGTGAGAAGTTGTGTTTGTTTTGCCTCTTATCTTATCAGCTCTAGAGCTACAATGGCCCAGGTGTACTCACCATTTTACCATCAGGTGAGAGGAGATTGTGGCCCGGGTCCAGGCTGGCTGGAGAGACTTGCTGTAAAACCGACTGGCTGGTCACCATGGCGCTGTTGCCGTGGTGACTGATTGTTGAGGAGGAAGTGACTTCACTGTTACCCTGCTGGTTGTAGCGCACTCCTGCAAAACAAGGCAGACCCAGCCGTGAACATTAATGTTACCAGGGACCAGGAACACTGACTCAGCTCCCCTGTTTTTAAGGCTGACGGACAAGAAGACCAAGTTGCCTTCCCCTCCTGGCTACCCATGAGGAGAATCGGCTGCCTTTCCTAGGGTGGTGGTGGCATGGCTTCTACTTGAATTCTGGAATGGAAACTCCACGGGGACAAGACGTTCTGATCTGTTTTGTTTTGTTCACTGCGTCCCCCGTGCCTTGGCCTTTGAGAGCCACTCAACACATATTTTTGTCAATGAACAGAGCTGACTGATTGTTGCTTCAGTATCATCTTTTCAGGATTTAGGGTCTTCTCTTCCTGACTGGAATATTTCTTCTATTGTAAAAATGCCTTCTAGAAATGTTTCCCTGGCATCTCTTGGCTTTTAAGAGTTGATCCATTTTATAAAGAGGTCTTGTTAAAACATAGTGAAATGCATCTGTCTCCTTGTACCACCATCTTGGCTGAGCCAAAAGGCCAGTGAGGACATAGCCAGAAAGGACAGAGATGGGGCTGAAGCTGGGGAGCTTTGACTCTAGAATTTACATTCCTTGGATGGGGTCGCCTTTGGCTTCCAGGGCACAGGGAGGGCCTGTCTGCTGAGAGGGAGGTGGGGCGGACAGCACACAGGTAGGTCGTGGATGCTCAGTAAAGAAATCACTACAGCTTAGCCTGCAAGGGAGCGGAGAACCAAGCGCTTCAGCCCCACGGCTCTGACCCTCCTTTTTGCTTAAGAACCAAAATGGAGGTGTCTGTCAGAAGAGAGTAAGTGTTGGGCAGAGACCAGGTACCTGCAGGAAGCTCAAGGGAGACAAAGAATCTGAGTCCAGTTTGCGGAGGCCAAGTCCTGCCTGGTGTGCTCATGGGCTAGTCTAGGGCAAGGCTGGGGGTAGCTGGCACGTCTCACACTAATATCAAAGCTTTTCTAGAAAGACAGTGTTCTTGGCTTTTGCTTTGGAACTGACAAAAAGATTTGGGGGACCTTACTGCTACTGGATGGGAAGGAGAACAAACGCCTTCGACATAGGATCCCAGGAAGATGGGGGCCAACTATACAGTCCCTTCTCCTTTTGCCAGCTCCCCAAGATGACCATAACTCTACAATGGATTTGTTTCCCCCTGCCCTGCCTCTGCCTCAACCAGAGTCCCACCTTCCCGGAAGGCTGCCAGGCCCCCCAGGGGCCAGGGGGGCAGCCATCACCAGCAGCCTCCAACCCACCGAGACCAGGCTTGCTGAGAGGAGACACAGGCCAGTATTCCTTGGATTCTTTGAAGGACGTTACTCAAAGCTGAGATGACCTAGAGCTTAAGAGGACTGTGGAAAAAACAAACAAACGCTAAAGCAGGGTTTTACCCTTTAAGAGCAACTTGTCTGAAGTGGCTGGAGGCGTGCGCTCTGCGCGTCTTCTGTTGGCTGTTTTCTCCATCCTTTGATTCAAGGGGCTGGCTGCTAGTGGGGCTGGTGTTGGCAGAGGGACAGCACGGGAATTCGGTGGACTCTGGTCTGGGGAACCTGATTTTTGGTGTGGGGAGGAGAAGCAGCCACGAAGTAACAAGAAGGAAAGGTTTTCACACCTCCAAACCGGCACCCCCTGGCTAGTCCTGCCTATTTTGCACCCACCTGCAGCCCACTACCTCTCCTGTTTACCACTCTCAACTTCATCCCATTTGGCTAAATTAGGTGTTTTCTTTTTCCACTTAAGTTCGCCACTGGGGTCACAGCAGGATCTTTCTAACAGCCGTGCAGAGTTTTATAGAGGAGAAAGAGATCCGAACTTAGTGAGCTCCAAAGAGAGTGAACGGAGCGTTGAATCCAGTGGACAGAGGCAAATTCCAAGTCAGTTAAAGGAAGTTTCTCACAAAGAGGGGGCAATTGGGAGGTATGGGCTCTAGAGCTAGACAAAACCAGATCGAAATCCTAGCTTGGCTTTTAAGGGATGTGTGACCTTGGGAAGATGCCATTCTCGCTGTGTCTTGGTTCCTTCTTAAAAAAACAAAGAGAATGCTTCCTTCACAGAGCTATTTTGGGATGTGAGGTAACATCTATGAAGCTTATAGCATAATGCCAAGTACATGGCAGCTACGGAGAGGAGGGACCCGATATAGGGATGTACCCCAAGATCTGTTCTAAGATTCAAATTCTAGGTAATTGGGGGCAGATTGTAAGTACTGAATGGAATTAACTTTCTGTGGAAAATAATCTCCAGACTCCTACTTTGGCAGAACCAGTGACTTTGCTCTGGATGCAACGAGGGAGGGGCCGGCTCTTACTCTTTCCTTTAGGAGGATCTGGACTTCACCCTGTGTTCCTCCTGCTTTCTCTGACTCTCTGATCAGCTATTTACCTCCCCAAGATGCTCTGCTCCTGAGAGAGTGGTGATAATGCTGGGAGTCAGGTATGTTTTCACCTCCCAGCCTGTCCCCATCATCGATTTGTCTCAAGTCAAACAGACTCTGGTTTTAGCCTATTTAATTTGGCTGCAGGAAGAGGGCCAGCCCTCTGGTGATCAAATATGGGTCATGGGGAGACCTCCCCCCTCCCTACAGGCCACCTAATTATTTATTTTAAAATAATTAACCAAGGATATCCTTAGGAAACAAAAGCCTTCTTTACATGGATGTCTGGCATGAGAGAACCAAGAGTCATTTGTTAGGCTACACACAGTGTCGCCCAAGGCTGCCATGGATTTCCAACCTTGTTTTTCCATGAGCAAAATGTCATTATATGAGACACAGAACTTGGAACTGCTCTTTTTAAAAATAGCTGGACCTAGAACCCTTGCACACTCCTAAAAATCCTTTGACTAACAGGGGTACCATGGCATGGCTCCTGGGAACTAGAGGATCCCTGTTCTGATCTTAGCCCTGCTATTCACCTACTGGGTGAGTTCCAGCTTCCTCTTCTCTAAGCCAGAGACTGCCTGCCATGGAGAGGGGTGCAGAGTGTGGTGGGAGCTAAGATGAGGCCACTCATCGACCCCAGATTCACCTGTAGCCTTTCCTGTTGATGTTCCTCTCACCAGGAACTTGGCAATTGCTCTGGACGCTGTGGCTGCAATCAGCCAGCTGCCTTACAGGGGGATGTGGAGGTGAAGGGTGTATCACAAGATACCTGCTGGCAATATGCCGGAAATAGGAGTTCTTGATAGAGGAAGGTGAGGCCGGGTGCTTGTGTATTTCACAAACTCAGAAGAGCGCTTGAAATGAGAGCGAAAGTAGAGGAGGCTCTGGAGCAGGCGACCTGGGTTTAAATCCTGGTCTACCAGGACTAGCGATGTGACCGTGGGGAAGTTACTTAACCTCCCTGAGCCTCAGTTTCTTTGTTACTAACAATATCCACCCTTAGGTCATTAAAAACGACCTGAATGAGCTAATAGTCAGTGTGAAAAGACCCACATATATATGCTTGACGAGTGACAGTTGATCAAGATATATCAGTTTTTGCGACTTTGGGATTCTTTGTCTAAAAGACATTTTCAAGAAAGCTGAATTCACTAAACCTTATGAAGACCTATCATATGCCAGGCATGGGGCCAGGAAGCTAGGTTAAGAATTAGAATGGCATCTTCTCTTCACCTATGCAAGCTTTGAAAATGAATGTACAACAAGGGCTCTGATTTAACAGTGGTTCGACATACCAGGTTAATAGCCACAGAAGAAATGACAGGTCCTATGGAAGACATGACAATGCCAGAAGGTGGCCATGCACTTCCCCTCCCTTCCTAGCCTAAGTCATCAATTGGCCACATCCCCACCACGACCCTATGAACCCCAGTGAGAGTGTCTAGCAGTGAGGAGCATCCCAGCTGGGATCTAAAAACATCCCCCAGGTCCTGGTGAGGCAGTTATATATGTTTACCTGTTTCCAGACCACAGCATCATGGATGTTGGGCAATTTCCCAGTTCCCGAAAGCGAATGGACAGAGGCAAATTATTTGGTTTCTACCTAATATGATGGGTCCAAAGTATCAAAATGAGAATGCAGTGTGTGGCTTGCGGAAGCCAGCATCTCTACGCTCTGCCTTCCAGGATCACCATCATCTCGAGGTACCTTTCCTACTGCAGCTTGGGATTCTTTCTAAAACAAGATCACACGTGTCACTGCCTTGCCTGGAAATCTACGGTGGCCCCTCCCTACCTTCTGGTAGCAAACCCTGACCCCTAACGCTGGCAGGGACATCGGGCCTTTGTGAACCCAGCCTGCCTCATGTGGAGACTCTCATCACTCCTACTCAGCACTCATGGTCCTCACACCTCACCCTGCCATCTCCTGCCTCTTTGCCTTTGCTTATATGGTTCCAAACTCTGCCTGGAATGCTCTTCCATGTCACAACTTTTCAGGGGGTTGGATGTCACCACTTCTGTGAAGCTCTCCTTGATTTACCCTGGTAGCTACATGCTCCACCTTTTGTAATGTACACACAGTAGAGGTCATTCCTTGTGCAACAGTCTTGACGAAACTTCATGAGAGGTTCCTGGGAACTGTGACTTTAAGTAACATGAAATATAATAAAACCAGTTGACTGCAGGCTAGTTGATAGAAACAAGTTAAGTTCTGACAGCACAGTTTCAGTCACAAACCGTCACCAAGCTTTTTAATTGAGACCGCCAACATTTCTGAGGCTCACCAATCCTTCAGATGCATCCATTCACTCACTGTTCTGTGTCAGGGCCAATGGCGGCCTCTCCAGGCAGCTCAGGGCACCAGGTGGGCATTTACCCTTGACAGGATGTCCTCCTAAAGTGGAGTGCCACCTGTGCAGACACCCTAGGGAACCTAGGGGCCCATCTTTGGGGAAAACTGGAGTCCCCAGAAAAAACCCACACAAAATTGGGAGAATATGCAACTCCACAAAGACAGCAGTGCTGGCAGAATTGATTTTTCTTTTCTCATCAATGTGATACAGATGACATTGAGTGAAATGATGTTTCTTGAGAATCTGCCATACCATCGTGCTTGGTGAC